TTGTTGTTGTTGTTGTTGTTGTTGTTACACAACAATATCGTGAGGAACATTGACGTAAATTATGTTTTAAAATCAGATTTTCTGATTTTTAATGGGATTTTTTAATGGGAGTCAGTGGGAGTTAATGGGGTGTCAAGCTTCATAAAAGCAGAAAGAACCTGACCTCAGGTATGTTTGTTTGACCCAGGTCAACAGCACAAAGCAGTTCTCGGAGGACCTGATCTTCTGCAGCAGACCATGCAGGTGGATAAAGGTCCGCTGATGGCAGCTGTCAATCATGTTCTTCAGATCCTCTCCAGAACCAGAGTGGCAGAACCTTTCCAGCTCAGCAGACACTATTCCCCACAGACTGACCAGGTGCTTCTTCAGGTTCTGGTCCTGGTCCAGGTCAGCTGGAGGTTTGGGGAAGTCTTGAGGCTTCAGCAGTGGCATGTGTTCCCATGAGTCCGACTCTGATCCACTGGATCCATCGGAGCGGGTCCGGGAGAAGGAGAGAACGTTGTGAAGTTCCTGAGAGCGCTSGACTTCTGCTGTGTTAAAGAGATCATGAGCCGCAGGGTTTTCATGAACAAGACCTGCAGTCAGAAACAGACGGGCCACAGCTAAATGACAGGGGYGCCTCCAGAACTGGCTTCATGGGGGGCTGAAGATCCTGGGGTGGCACCAGAACCAGAACACAATCTGTAGACATGTGTTCAGCTGTTGTCTTTTTCAGGTTATTTGCTGTTGTGGGCATGGAACTGCTAATCAGCTAACAGAAGAACTCATTAGCTTTAATTAGCTTATTCACTAACTTTGAAAAMTGTTAGCGAACCAGTTAACTTCTGCTATTTTAGGGTTTATCAACTTTAAGCCTGCTAACAGCTAACTAACTAGCTAAAATTGGCTCAAAGGAGACAAAGACACAGACTGAATGACAGTCAGTGGTTAGCAGTTAGCTGTTAGCATCYAGTAAATTTGGTTTTACCAACTTTGTTTGCTAACAGCTAACTAACAAGCTAACAACAGGTTCGTGTCCGTCTCACCAGTCTTCAGCAGGAAGGAGACAAAGACAAGACAGACTAAGTGACAATCAGTGGTTATCAGCTGTTAGTGTTAGCTCCTGTTAATTTTTAAAACCACATTTAGCATTAGCATTATAATTATATCTGACAGATTATGAGTTAGCGAAGCTAGCTTCATGGTTAGTCGTGCCCATCACTGCTTAACAGCAACAGAACCACCTTCTTATAAACATCCGTCCACTACTTTTATTTTTTATATTCAGTGCACATTGCCAATGCAGTGCACACTATTGTGATTCGTTTCCCATCCAAGTCATCTCTACTTTGCCATGCTTCTCCTCCTGCATACTTTGTCCTAGAGCTGCCATTGTAATTTACATCTGTAAAGCTCCTGTGCCAAATGATGGCTATGCCTTTTGGTGCCTGTAAAACTTATAGATTATGAAATATTAATGTTTAATGAATTATAATGGC